TATTACTATCCTAGTCAATAGATGATGGCATAGCCCTAGAAATGTCAATGCTAATCAGCCTGAGTAAATTGCATGCACATGGTGAATCTGAGGGGCGAACCCAGGCAATTTAACTTTAGACACCAAATTCTTCCTTGCAAGTTAGGGATGAAATGAAGGATTGGCCACTAAATTGTGTCAAGATTGTTAGCTCTTAAAAAAAAAATAATAATAATGTAGATCCCTAACTCTTCATACTTCAAAAAATTCTGAGGGATCAAGGAAAAAAAAAATTAAGTATTCAACCCTATAAGTAGTTCTTGAAAATAACAAAGAATGCTTATCACAGCATTTTCTGAGCTAAAGTAAAACAGAAGAATTGCAAATGAAAAGAAGAATAGATATTAAACAGTCTCCTTTGGTTCTACTTCTCACTTCTGGCCTGCCAAAGTAGCTGCCATTTCTAATCTCAAGTTCTCTGAGAGCTGCTGGGATTGGCTTCCTTCTTGGTTAAAACCCTCAGCACTCTAGTTTAAGCTATGGTCTTTCTCTGTTTGTTTTTCACTACTGCCATTTTCCATACATGTGGAAACAGCTAGAAATTTGTTCGTATCTCTCTTTTTCAGAATCTTTAAAAAAATGGGAATGGGGTTTATGGCTCTTTAACATTTTTTGCTATTATTTAAATGAAACCCCTGATAGTTAAAATTTGAAACAGTCATGAGAGCATAGGGTTTGGGGTTATTATTAAATCATATGATTTTAAAATGCAGAACTGACATTATCATGTTTTGTTACCATTTGGCACAACACTTTTTAAAAGCAAATTTGCAAAATAGAAAAAGAACATTATTACTAAATAATATTTATAGCAAAAGAAACTTTAAGGTATATAAAGAATTTTACCCAATTTTTTTTTTTAAAAAAATGTTTTTAACTTGTAGCTGGACACAATACCTTTATTTTATTTATTTATTTTTATGTTGTGCTAAGGATCTAACCCAGCGCCTCACATCTGCTAGGCGAGCACTCTTCCACTGAGCCACAACCCCAGTCCCCCATTTTTTTTACAGTATATTCTTTTAAGAAAATGATCTTAAGTATGAAAACGATTTGAATCTGAGTTTGATTTGATCAACCGTTTTCCACTACAGACTTCTTTGTTAATATGAGAAAATGTAACCAGTTTAAAATAAGGTAAAGGAAATATCATCTCTATAGAATATTTTATAGATATTAAGAAGTTTTAGAATCACATGAAAACATTTATTCTATAATATTAAATAAATAGAATACAAAGTTACAGGGAAATAGTAGTTATTTTAAATTTGCATAGAAAATTGCCCTAAAATGCTAAAAGTGGAAGCAGGGTTTGTAGTTCTTTACTTATTAAACAGAAACATTCTATCCTGTCTATTTTTAGCTTTAGTAAATCCACATGATGTATTTTATAAATTTCCAAAGGGAAAAAAAGCAACCTACAAAATATCAACAAGAACAACAGATTTGGAGATTCCCCCCTGCCATATACACTGCAACCAGAACCAAAGAGTACTCCTTCATTTTCATCTATTCTGTTATCTAATGTCTCAACCACTTTTGTCAACAAAGTGAAATCTTAACCTTGATAACTTTGGTCCCCATTTCTGCTGGAGTGAGTGCTTCTCTGAAGAGAGAAAATAAGGAAAATGAGTAAAAGTATTCAGAAAATGCAGCAACTATAAGGTTACCTATTTTCACTTTTCACATTTTTCAAAATAGTACTGAAATATTTTTAAAAGTAATATACTAAATTAAAATGAATCTTAAACTTTATCTGCAAAAGTATAAAATGAAATTGTAACCACAATAGTCTTTTTTAAATACCTACATAGTTATATTTTCTTTTATGTTATAATATTAAATACCCTAGATTTTTATAAGCAGGGCATTTGTGTTAATATATGAATTCTAGGGCTAGGGCTGTAGCTCAATGAGCACCTGCCTTGCACATGGGAGGCACTGGGTTGGATCCTCAGCACCACATTAAAAAATAAATAAATAAAAATATGTGAATTCTAGATCTCACGGTGATTAATCATCCTAGTACTATCACAAAAAGTAAATTTAAGACACATTTATTTTGATCTGTTTGAGTCTGCAAATATTTCACATGAAATTAAGTGTAAAGTACGTTTTCCATTTGAATGTCATTTTTTTTTTCTGCCAAACTCGTGGTTTTATCTACGAAATTCTCTGTAGGCACTGTTGTAATTCTTCTTATTACTCAGGGTAAAAAAAAAAATCCTGTGTGTTTTATAAAATGGTCTATTATATTTCTTAATAACTAAGTGTGAAAAACAGAATTTAAAATGTTGCTGGAGTAAAAGGTCAGAATAAAAGTTTCAGTTGTTCATTATTCTGATGCATGGCATGGAGTTTCAGAAGGCATGGAGTTTCAGAAAGCATGTTACATCACAGCAATCCTTCATTTGAGTTTGTATTTGATTGCTTCACATCTGTGCATTAAGATAAGTTATTGCACAGACCTCCTTTAGTTTAGATTAGTTTGGAACACATCCCAGGGTATTTAATCAGGATATAATCCAGCATGGTGCAATCTTTAGAAGGTGCACATGTTTTTAATGAATAACACTTTGTGGCGGGTTTGAAATTGTTATGCTTTTTTTTCTCTTTTTTTAAAAAAAATCTGCTAAGAATGTCTACCAACTCATTTTTTTGATTATTTATAGCTCCTTGCAAATATAATAGTTAATATTGGATTTGAAAAGATCATCATATTTAACTGTGTTACTTCTAAGTAGTTGGCTCATTTTGTACATGTCCACCATATTCAATATGAACTGTGATGAAAGATATTACAATATTCTATCATAATCTAAATAGTTCTCTAAACTTTATAACTCATGCAAGTAATTTCCTCTTTAAATTTATTTGGTAAATTTCATAATATGAATAATTTTTGTAACTGAAAATAGAAATTGGGAGGTAGTATTTTAATAAAAAATAAACATCTCAACATCTTTGTAGTTAATTTTGTTTTCAAGTTGAGAAAAGATTAGCCTCCACATATAATTTTAAAATATGGATTTTAAGCTGTTGTTGTACATAAGGAAATAAGCTGAGAAAAATTTGGAGTTCTACAATATTTTTCCAGAATACTAAAAATAGATAAAATAAATTAAGCATCACAGAAAATGAGTAAACAATGTGTAAAAATTATTATTTATGTGTAAAAATATTATCTAAAGTATCATCTCTGATGTAACTTATCTTGTAATTGTTATCCTTTGAATAAATCAGAAATAAAATTTAATGAATTTTAAAAATTTATTTTTTACTTAACTTTAATAACATTTTTAACTTATATTGCTCCTGTAGAAATTCAAAATTTAGAACTTGTGCAAATCTGACACTAACAATTTATTAACTAATTTTTATAACACTTAAAAATGTGAGGCAAAAAGATTGTGGTGACAGTTTTCTAGAACTTATTAAGATACATAATGAAGAGTATCCTTTCTCTGTCTTTCTATTATAGTATTATGCTTTCTACCTTTTTACTTATTTTAAACCCTTTTTGGAAACTTTACAATTATAAATCTTCTTTTTGTGTTTTCTATTTGTAAAAGAAATGCACATTTATCATAAATATGTCTTAATATTCTGTATAAAAGGACCTTTTTTGATAGCTGGTGACAATGTGCCTATTATAAATTTAAGAAATGCAAATTTCTCTATTTATTGATGTAAAATAACAAAAGTTTCATACCAATCTTTTTGGGCTAGGTAACTTCAGACTCTCTTATCACTGTCTTGTCAGTTAAAGAGGCAACAACAACAACAACAACAACAAAAAAGAAGAGCAAACACACTCCTGTCTCCATCATGAGTTCTGGACAGAGGAAATTCATTGTCACTATTCACAGGAGTCCTGACCCTAGACTATTGCCCTTTTAATGTTATTCTTGGTACATTCATGTTCAAGCACTCAGGACTTCTGAAGGACTTTATGAACTCAAAAGATGGTGACATTGTGCAAAATGTAATCTTGTTGGGCATACATTTTAAGTTGAAGCCACATTCCATAAACTATTTTTATGTAGGCTTATGCACTGAATTGTTCATCTTCTATTTAAAGAGAAGGCTTCCAGGGATGTGGCTATCTTTCTCCTACGACTGTTAGTTATTGCTGTTGTTGCTACTATTATTATTAATCACTTTTTATGATTTTTGTCTTCATTATTACAGTAATTTTAAGTGTTACCAATAGGAGAACAAATATATACGTTTATTGTAAGTGGTGTTATCAGTGGATATGTCTCCAAATCACTGTTTTAAAATAACTCTCTTGGGGAAACTTAACACTGGACTGGTCACATATGAACAAACCCAACCTCAGATTTATTTCTTTAGTAATTATGTGTGTGGAAATTACATTTTATAGCTTAAATAAATTTGAGGTTAGTTTATTACTAAGAAATTAGAGAAAATATATAACTTGACATCTTTTGTGCCTATCATTGTTTGTTCCATATGCATAATTTTCACTCTTTCATTTAATAATGACTAATTTTTTAGAACAAAAACATTTAAATCATTTGAGATACTGAGATTTATGTACATAAATTTTGATTAATTAGTAAAAATGGTCTGAGGTATAAATTGATTAGAAAAGGTGTATGAAGATATGTGTACTACGATATTTAAATGAAACTTCAGAGTCAATCATTTAATATATGACATATATATGGTTTAAAAAATCTCAGAATTATTAAATTAAAGATGGTGAAAAGAAAAATTCTACTCTGGTTTTCCGGAGGCAATTTAGTTAGAGATGGGTTATAGTCCAGGTATTCCTATACTTGACTGTGACTTATGCAAGAACAATTTCCACAAGAAATTTGCAATGATAAATATGAAGACCTTTATTTTCTATGTATGATGCATTTTAATGTATTGAAAACAAATTATTTACAAACAGTATAGGAAATTTATACTGTTCTCTCTTCTTTGAATAGGTTATGTGGGTATGCAATTTATGTCGAAAGCAACAAGAAATCTTAACCAAATCTGGGGCATGGTTCTTTGGAAGCGGCCCGCAGCAGCCTAGTCAGGATGGAACCTTGAGTGATACAGCTACAGGTGCTGGTTCTGAGGTACCAAGAGAAAAGAAAGCACGACTCCAAGAGCGATCACGGTCTCAGACTCCCCTGAGCACAGCCACTGCCTCCTCCCTGGACACTGCTCCTCCCAGTGCACCACCAGACAGGAGCAAAGGGGCTGAACCCTCACAACAAGCCATGGGGCCCGAACAGAAGCAGCCGTCATCCAGGTCTAGAAGTGAACCTCCAAGAGAGAGGTAATAGTTCATTAATCCTGTAAACAAAAGTTAAGGTCTTCTTGAAGAACAAACACATTTTTAAGAATTTAACTTCTACTGGGAGGGATATGTAGAAATAGCACTTCTCAGGCCATACACAGAAGTCAACAACAGGCCTACGCTGTTTTGTCTGTTCCTAAAATGTCTGTTCCATAGGAGACCTTTGTTGAAAAACTTCTTTCCTACCATGCACAATTGTAAGGATAAAATAAATCATTTGATTGAGCTACTAATTTCCAACCTTGAACTAAAAAAAAATTCTCTTAGATCATTGTTCATTTTAAAATTAGTTCTTTAATTAAAAGTGTTCTCTGAACCAATATGATAAGGGAACAGGATCTATTGAAGGATGCATTGGAACATCACAGAATTTACAAGAAGGGTGGGATGAGCCTCCAGGTATCTGCATAGGCTTGTGGCCTGAAAGAAACAGTCTGATGTGAGGATGTACTCAAGGATACCCATTGGTATAATGCAAGTACCACAGGAAGAGTGATAGGGAGGTGGCTGGTGAGGTAGTGAGGTGTTTTAGTTAGGTTTTTGTTGCTATGACCAGAAGATATAACAAGGAAAATGTAGAAGAGGAAAAGCTTATTTTGGCTCACAGTTTCAGAGGTTCAGTCCAGTCCACAGCTCTGGTACTGAGGTGAGGCAGAATATCATGGAAAAAGGGTGTGGTGGAAGGACATAGCTCAGGAAATGACAATCAGAAAGCAGAGAGAGATCTCTGCTCACTAGGGCCAATATATAAATTTCAAAGGCATACCTTCAGTGACCTACTTCCTCCAGCCACACCCCACCTGCCTACAAAAATCTTGCTTTGTCTTACACATGAATTTTGGGGGGATACCTCATACCTAAACCATAGCATCCTGTCCCCATACCACTGAAAGCTCATGCCCATCTTATAATTCAAAGTACATTTAATCAGCTGGGCATGGTGGCACATGCCTCTAATCCCAGTGGCTCAAGAGGCTGAGGCCAGAGGATCATGAGTTCAAAGCCAGCCTCAGCAACAGAGAGGTGCTAAACAACTCAGTGACACCCTCTCTCTAAATAAAAAATATAAATTAGGGATAGGGATGTGGCTCAGTGGTTGAGTGCCCCTGAGATCAATCCCTGGTACCATCCCTTGCACCAAAAGAATATTCAGTCTATTTCCAAGAGTCCCTATAATCTCAACAATTCCCGCACTGTATAAAGTTCTAAGATGAACTCTCAGCTGTGAGAGTAAAGATGAAAAACAGGCTACATAACTCCAACATATAATGGCATGGAGTAAACATTTCAATTCCAAAGGTGAGAAATAGAAAACAGAAAGAAGGGATAGGACCAAAGCAACACTGAAATCCAGCTGCACAAACAAGTTCTGTAGCTCCATATCAGGCATTTATCTGGGGCATATGGCATTGAGTTTTCTCTAAAGGGCTTGTATAGAGTGTTCATGGAAGTTCTCTCTCTCTCCACCCCCCTTTGTTGTTCCCTTCCTCGATGATGTTTCGTCTCACCTTGAGCACAGAACTATAGGGTTGGCTGACCATGGATTGAACCTCTGAAACTGTGATCCAAAATAAACCTTTGGTCCTCTGAATTGTTCTTTTCAGGTCTTTTGGGCACAGAGACAAAAAGCTAAATGAAACAGAAGTTGATAACAGGAATGGGGTAATTGCTGTGACTAATACATGAGGGGACAGGTTCAATTTTACAGATTTTATCGTAAGCATGATAGCATGCCACTGAAGATTTAAACAAGGGATAATGTGACCCGGTAATTTATTTCAATCAATTGCTTGATTCATTAATAAAATATATTTATGGACAAACAATGCTATACAGTAGGAAATAGTGCTAACAAGGATGACATAGCCATTGTCGTCATGAGGCTCACAGTGTAGGGGATCTGTTAGGATTTGAATTAGGCTCAGTTGCTTTTGTCTAACTCTTATTTATCCCACTGAGTAGTAGTAGGCTCCAAGTCATCTTTTGATCCCCTTTTCAAATAAAGTTCATACAATATGATCGGGCACTTCAAAGTTAAGCAGGTCAGGATAACAGTCAAGACTCTACCATTATAACCACCTCAAAGGGTGTGGCAAGAATTAAAGGACAGTGTAGGTTTTCAAACTGGCACATGGCAGGCATTCTGTGAATATGCCTATTATTGAAGTTAGCAATCATAATGTTTATTTACTATAAGTAAACACAGTGCCAATAGCCAGAGGGTATAAAAATGAATTAAGATGTGGTCCCTTTCCTTACAGACCCTGGGGAGAGGTCAGACAATATCCCAGGAAAGACAGACACTTAGGCTGTTAGGTAGGATGCTGATTTGATCAAAGTTAAAAAATGCATTTAGTACTTTGGTAGCCCTAGGGAAAAGGAAATGATTTCTGAATTAAGCTTTGTAAGCTATCCAGGAGTTGTAGGGGAGGTACACCAAATAGAAGAGGACAATACATGATGACAGAATGAGTGCCTAAATTATTTGAAGGCAAGATAGGAAGGACATAAGTGATACCTTAGTGAAGGTAGAATTAATAGCAAACTGTCATGGGTGAGGGATAAACAAGAATATTAAAAGTACAGGTTGGGACTGGTCAGAAGATATCTTTAAACAAAACTAAAAATTTGGAGCTTTAAAGTTGTTGAAAAGTATTCTGGTTTTGACATATGATAAAAAATGACATGAATTTCAAGAATGAGAACTGAGGTATTTGTTTTGACTTTTTAAATGAAATTTCAATACCAATGGGGCAAGTACATTAACCTATGGTGTAGGAGCATAGCAAGGCAGGTAGGTTGCAGTATAGGATTGGCGACTTCAGGAAGAAGCAGGATTGAAAGGAAGCCAATCTGTTTATTTGTTTTCAATTCTTGAAGATATTTTGCACATTGATCAGGACCTAGTAGAAATAAAACAAAAGTTGAGGTGAGAAAAAATGTATAATTAGTGGAGCAAAGACACAAAATGGAGAATACTTTCTATTTGCATAACACTCAACTCTTCCATAAAGCATCTCCACAGTTGGTTTCCTTTACCGCTCACATGAACTCTTCAAGGTAAGTAAGTGTTATGTATTAGCATTTCAAGAAAAGCAATTGATTCAATATAAACTTCTATCAAGAGCATCTCTGCTTTAAGGAGCTACCAAATATTTGTATACAAGCATCATACTCTTATGAAAGCTATCTTTGATAATAAATAATATGTGATTATAATAGATACCTTACACTGTAAAAACCATTATTTCCTTCAGGACCAAATCCCTTTCATTTCAAAGGGATCTTGAAATTCTTTACTTTTTCTCTTTACTATCACCAGCATGTTCTTACTACTCCCCACAACATATCTTAGTAACTGCACCTTGGCTAAATCACTGGAGAAATTGTCCATTTTTTTTTTTTTTTACCCATTTTGCCTGTATTTTTCTCTATTTTCATTTTTGATACCTGCTTTTGGATTTCCAAACAATGATATAACCTTTGAAGTGTCTTCCTTTCAGATATCAGAATTCCAAAATAAGCCTTGGGTTGCTTCCATTTGAAGCGCACACTAGATCATATAAATACACTTAGCTAAGGTATCTAGTTTTTACAACTTCTGGCATCATAGCTGGAACTTCCCCAAACCAGGTGCACTTCAGTGTACAGGGAAATACTGAAAGAGACAAAAGAATGATACATTTACCAGACTGAAAGATCACCAAACCCCTTTCCTTTACTTTTACCTTTGCCAGTATGTTTGACAGCATAGAAAAAGTAGAACTCCAAACTACTTGCTTGTCTTGGATCCTTTTCTGAAATGAATAGAAAGAGAGGGAGGAAGGGAGTATGAATAACACTTTCACAATTTCCAATGTTTCTATTATTTTTACCTGAAGAAGTTAGAACCAACTTCTGAAAAAGTGCGTGTGATCAAGTCAGAAATTAATTTGTTCTACTATTGATGAAGTGCTATTAGAATTGATTTCTGAAATGGACATTCTTGTGCTTACATTTCTTTAAAAGCTTCAGTTATAAGTGATTGTTACTGTATTATCCACATATATCAAATATATATTTGGTTTTGAAGTGATATGTATATATTATTCTGCTCCTATGCTAACTCTAGTATTTTCATGGAAGTCATTTTTAAGTCTTTGAGTCATAAACAGAGGATAGCATAAAATTTGTCCATTGATTGAATTAATTTAGTAATGTATTTTATTGTTTCAGTTAAAATGAAAAACTTAAATTGTGAAAATAACTTTTCAAGTCTTTGAATATATTGTGTTGCAAAGGGGTCATAAAAAAAAACTTAAGCAATACAGGTTTAATGGAGCTCTTCATCATCTCAATTAATTAGACGTGGGATTCTAATTATTTGGAATGATTCAAGACTGGAATGCAAGTTACTTAGGTCTTTTCCTTAAATTTTATCAATTGCTTTCCTTCATGACGTTCCTTTGCATATCACAGGAAGAAGGCTCCAGAGCAGAATGGCAAAGGAGCCCTGAAGAGCGAGCGGAAACGCGTGCCAAAAACCTCGGTGCAGCCAGGGGAGGGGGCTGTGGAAGAACGGGAACGGAAAGAAAGGCGGGAAAGCCGAAGGCTTGAGAAAGGGAGATCACAGGACTACCCCGAAGTGCCAGAAAAACGAGAGGATGGAAAAGCGGCAGAGGATGAGAAGCAAAGGAAAGAAGAGGAATACCAGACCAGGTACCGCAGCGACCCGAACCTGGCGCGGTATCCGGTGAAAGCGCCGCCTGAGGAGCAGCAGATGCGCATGCACGCCCGGGTGTCCCGAGCGAGGCACGAGCGGCGCCACAGCGACGTGGCGCTCCCGCGCACCGAGGCGGGAGCCGCGCTACCGGAGAGCAAGGCCGGCAAGCGAGCGCCGGCCGCCGCCAGGGCCTCGCCGCCGGACTCGCCCCGGGCCTACTCGGCCGAGAGGACTGCGGAGGCCAGGGCGCCCGGCGGCAAGCCGCCAAGGAACCACAGCCCGCCGGCGCCCAGGCATGGGCCGGTCCCCGCAGAAGCCCCTGAGCTCAAAGCCCAGGAGCCCCTCAGGAAGCAGAGCCGCCTGGACCCCAGCTCAGCGGTGCTCATCAGGAAGGCCAAGCGCGAAAAGGTTGAGACCATGCTGCGGAACGACTCCCTGAGCTCTGACCAGTCTGAGTCCGTGCGGCCATCGCCGCCCAAGCCGCATCGGTCTAAGAGGGGTGGCAAGAAGCGGCAGATGTCAGTGAGCAGCTCAGAGGAGGAAGGCGTGTCCACTCCCGAGTACACCAGCTGCGAGGACGTAGAGCTAGAGAGCGAGAGCGTCAGCGAGAAAGGTAAGGGCGCGGCGCTGTCCCTGAGCTTCCAGGTGCCTGTCCCAGGGTGAGAGAAGCTTGAGTGCTGAGTGAGAGATGCGTGTGAGCCAAGCTCAATGGTGTGTGTGTGTGTGTGTGTGTGTGTCCCCGCGTGCGCGCGCGCACACGTGCCAAGCTTAAAGATGCATGTGTGGTGGGGTTAGAAATTCGTGTGTGCAGGGTTAGAAGTGAGTGTGCTACGATCTGAATGTACATGTGCCATGGTTAGAAGTGCACATGTTCCAGGATTGGAGGTGAGGTTTGGAATGCTCATGGACAGTGATTCATCCAATGTAAAGTTTTTGATGGATTCATTGATTGATTGATGGGATTTTTAAAAGCTCTAAATTTGAGTTAGGAGGCTTTCTAACTGATTTTGGTTCCTGTCATCTTGGGAAATGTAGTACACACTCATGTTTTTTAAGTTATTTGGGTATGGGTTTATTTGGGGGAAAATAACTGATTTTCTAGAAAACAAAAACTGTGCCCTATAAAGAATAATGTACTTTTTTCTTCCAAAACTTCAGTTGTGTATATTCGAGTCATATGGGTAGTATTTGTCAAATTTCAAGCTAATTCTCCTCACAACTTAGTGAAGAAATTACATCATGAGGGTGTTATATATTGAGTTTCGGGTAGTAACTTTGAGGTATGAAGTTCACATTCCAGAAGTTTTGGGGACATGGTGTGAAAATTTTTTTAAATGTTTAAATCTGCACTGTACAATATACTATAGCCTCATGTAGTTATTTAGACCTAAATTAATTCAACCTAAGTTTCAATAAACTTAAAAATTCAGTTCCTCCATCATACTAGTCACATTTCAGGTGTTCAATGGGAATAATCACAAAAAATTCCATTAGGTAGTGCTTATCTAGAAAAATACTTCAATTTAAAATCGATTTTCATGCTTTTTTTTTTTTGAAGGTTATTCTCATTTTGATGCTGTTTTCTCAGATTTAAATTGACCAGAGTCCTCACTTTGATGGTAGTCAACATCATTGCTGCAATGTTGAGGTCATTGGGTGTTTCAAAATAATTTTTATTTTGGGGAATTTAAAAAAAATTGTTGGCTTGCTTTGTAATTGCTAGATGATGTACTAGATATGATACATTTTATTTAAGAATCATTTTTCTTTCTCATCTTCTGTCTCTGAATTGCATGTCCATGTCCTCCCCCCTGCGACATATATGCCCAATCTCATGCTTTATGTAGAAAAAATTTAAAAAGCTAGTTCTATCATTATTATTGCAAACCAACTTGAAATAGGAGTCTTTAGAACATATGAACACAGGATAAGTTTAACTCTCATTAGCTTGCCTTCTGATCACTTCTCTTTATAAGTTGCATAGGATCTACAGGCTTTAAAAAGTCAGTTGATGAGTAGAATTTGTTAAATGCCTTTTGTTTTCCCCCAAAGCAAAAAAGTAGGTGTTAAACAAATATATAAATAGATGAAGTTAGTTGGTGTATAGAGAACTGTTATGGATGTGGACATGTATATTTTCTTTGAAGAAAGGACCCTACACCAAATCTTATTGAAAGTGTGTTGTGTATCATAATGGGGGACAGAATTGATCTCCCCCCAATTATTGAAAAAAGCAAATATGAATAAAGAAAACCTGAATAGTGGCTTGGGTAATTGGAGGGATGGGGCTGGTATGACATGGTGAATTTATTGCCTCTTCAGGCTGTTTTTTCTGGAAATTTATCATTCTAGAGATTTTGGTGACCTCTTGGGATACACACATCTCTAAAGCTAGTGTTAAACCTCTTCATCTGGGAACACAAGGTCATCACATATACATTTATCTATTATTACCTAGTCCATGGTAATTATTTAATATATATGTACTATTCTTTTCATTGATATTATTATGTTTTACTACTCTGATGAGTTGATTCTTATATTTACTAGCAAATATGTATTTAGCACTTTCTATGGATATACTGAGGTTAAAAGATAAGTATATTTCCTTCCCTCATAGAACTTACATTCTGTTAGGAGAAGTAAGCAATAAAAGATAATTGCACAATAGTATCTAATTTCATAAATGCTTTAAAGAGATATTTCTGTCTCATATTGATGTACTTCTACTATGTGTTAAAGTATTTTTTAACAAGAAAAGATAATCCAGTCAAAATGTCATCTAAAAGATAGCACAGCTGGACATGGTGGTAATTGCCTGTGATCCCAGCTAGGAGGAAGTCTGAGGCAGGAGGATCACAACTTTTAGGCCAGCCTCAGCAATTAAGGGAGACCCTTTCTCAGAAATAAAAGTTGAAACAGGCTGGGGATGTAGCTAGCCTAGAGGAAAGTGCTTGTCTAACATGCACAAAGGCTCTGGGTTCAATCCCCAATAATAAAAAGGGAAATAAAAGCCATTACAGCCTTTATATTCAACATATAATCTTTCATATATAGTTTAATTCTGTTCTCTCTCTCTCTCTCTCTCTCTCTCTCTCTCTCTCTCTCTCTCTCTCTCACACACACACACACACACACACACACAAAAAAAACACACACACACACACACAGTGAGTGACCTCTGTACTGGATTATCGAAAACTTGAGGTCAACTACCTCTTTTTAAACATAAGTGACATTCGTATTGCTGTAGTCAAGAGGGAAAAACTGGACATCTCTTGTCTACTAGCTTGTAAATATTAACTACTATAAATTTCTCTACAGAGAAGAAAAAATAACAGTGAACTAAATATTGATTGTGAAATAAGATTTTGAATTTAAATGAAATCTGTAATATAATCCATTAGGAGAAGGTCTAGTGAAAATTTATGCCTCTAAGGAAGTGATTAAAGAGGTTTATTAGTAAAGAAAGATGGAGATGGTGCCAATGTTCAGGATAGAAAAATTGTTCAATTTCTGTGAAGAAACATGGGAACATCGCTGCCTTGTTTCAAGTGGGTAAGTCACTTATATTTGTAAGGACCTTACTATATACATTTTAAGATATAATATGCAATATATTATATATTTATATATAAGGACTTAATAATATATTAGTCCTAAGCTGGAAGGAGTTGGAAGAAGAATGTGGCATTGGATAACAGAATTTCTTTCCTTTTTTATATTTTCCTTAATTGACTTTGAGTCAATTAACATATGCAATACAAAATAAGCAAACTTTTGAACTTATTCTTTTTCAATTTTTGGTACTGGATATTGAACCTAGGAGCCTTGTGCCACCTAAGTTTCCATTCTGCCCCTGAGCTATGCCCCCTCCACCTGCCTTAGAGCTTTTAAATTGCTAATGAATGGCTGATGTTTACAGGAGATGGAAAAGGTAGAGTAGCCTGCTTTTGGACAGAAGACCTTGCCAAGTAGGCAGGAAAGGTGTGGTGGTAAAGGATAAAGCCATCTGATGTGATTCATCTCTCAGAGACCCTAGATTCAGTGGAGCTTGAAATGAGAAGGAGAGCTTCTTCTTGGGAGGTTCACTTAATATTTGTTGACTGGACAACTACAACACACTCTTCTTCATATCCCTTGTACAAAATGAAGGCTAAAATTTAATTCCTAGGTAGAAATCAATTGAAATTCAGTGAAAGGCTTGAGTAAACCTCAGAGAATTTGGACTCTAAGACTCTCACCCTCATGACCCAGCATTGTACTCCACATCTAATTTACCTAAAGAAGCCTACCAGTTCATTTACCCCATTTGTTAACAAATGTCATGTTAGTATTATTGTCTACAGCATCAGAATAGTTAAGATCTATGTGGAAGCGTTCTCTCTTGCTGCTCACAAAAATCCATCCAGTACCCATTCTCAAATATCAATGAACAACAATGCCCATTAGATATGAAAAGTACCAGCAGGATGAACCACAGGAGATCAGGATAATCCGAGATACATTGACTTTAGAAGAAATAATTCAAGAGCAGGAAAGGGCTTAAAATCAAACAGAACAAAATGTTACACATCTTAGTAAAGTTTAGTATATCTGAAATGCCTAAATCTCATTCCCAGGAAAGTTTGGCTTCCTAAATACAGATATTCTTTGTAAAATATTTTTAGATATTAAAGTTGTTAATCAAACTCACAGAGAAAGTTTTGGATACCAAAACCCTTAGCATTGATGAATTTAGACAGAAGGACAAAGTACAAGACTATACAACTGAACTCAAGATTACAAGTTTGCCTGCACAGGTAATTCTCCTAGCCAGAAAATACAGCATCATGATCAGAAATAAAATAAAAAATAATATAAAAGCTAATATAAAGTTTAAAATAAAAGCTAATATAAAGTTTATGAACTCCTTTGGGTCCAGAAAGAGGTAGCTATGAAATTAGCTATGAGGATGATAAAATAAGAAATAACATATTATCTAGTCTCCAACACCTGGACTAGATAATATGCTACTGAATGAACAATGGGTTGCAGAAGACATCAAGGAAGAGATTTAAAAAGTTTTAGAGGTGAATGAGGTGAATGAACACAGATACAACATACTGAAATCTCTGGGACACTATGGAGGTAGTTCTAAGAGGAAAGTTCATTGCATGTAGTTCATTCCTTAAAAGAAGAAAAAGTCAGCAAATAAATGACTTAACATTACATCTCAAAGCCCTAGGAAAAAAAAAAGAACGAATTTACACCAAAAGCAGTGGAAGAAAGGAAATAATTAAAATCAGAGCTGAAATCGATGAAACTGAAACAAAAGAAACAATTGAAAATATTGACAAAACAAAAAAGTTGGTTATTTGAAAAAATAAATAAAATTGACAGACCCTTAGCCATGCTAACAAAGGGGAGAGAAAACTCATATTACTAACATATGGGTGAAAAAGGAAATATGAAAAGAGACACTACAGAAATACAGAAGATAATTAGAAATTATTTTGGAAACTGCTACTCCAGTAAAATAGAAAATTTTGAAGGCATCAACAAATTTCTAGAGTCATATGATTTGCCCAAATTGAACTGGATGATATACACAATTTAAACAGATCAATTTCA